ACGCGATGTTGGAGGCCAAGTTGCGCTCTTTGTCTATCTGTTCCCTCTGTTCCCGGCCTTTACAATCCCGGACGCATGGAGATGGTCCTTTCACAAATGATTCAGTATTTCACGGTACTCCGGAGAGCAATGACGCCCCGACCGATGTCAAACACTCGCTTGCTGAAGACACGGAGGACTTTTCACATATTGAGCTTGCCGACCGTTTTCGCGGGTTGGTCGTCGACCCCGAGGAAAATAAGTTCTTCGGGCCCGCTAGCGCCTTTGCGCTCGTCAACAACGCCATTGCAGTAACCGCGAGCCACTGAGATGCCCATTCCGTAGCTCACATCACATCTCAGGAGAAGGAGAAGTATCTGGGACGGCCAGAAGGCCCGTCGCACTCGAGAAGGCGGCCCATTTTTTGGGAGACACTACCCGTGAGTTGTTGAAGCTTAATTCGCCCATCCTGTACTTATGTATCTGCAGTGGGAGAAAAAAGCATATGGCTTTCAGCCGCATTATGTCTATCCTGCGAGCGACTTGATAGCTTCACTTCTCAATCTGTACTTCAACAACGTACACCCAACTCTTCCCCTTCTGCATCGCCCTTCATTTGAACGGTCTGTGGCAGAGGGCTTGCACCTGAGGGATGCGCAGTTCGGAGCCGCACTTCTGGCGGTGTTGGGTGTCGCATCGCGAGTAAGCTTAATCCTTAATTTCACCTCTCCAATAACGCCTATTCCTTTTAGTACTCTGATGACCCTCGCGTATTTGTTGATGGCGATTCGTCGCTGTCGGCCGGTTGGAAGTTTGTCAATCAAGCACAGGTTGTCCGAAAGTTCTTTGATCCAAGGGTATATGAGGTTCAATTTTATTGTGTATCGCTGCATTTTATATATATATCACGGTCTCACTGTGTTCATTCCCAGCTCATGACTTTGTTTTCGCTTGGGACATCTACACCTCAAGGCGCCTGGCTGTACCTCGTATGCCAGTGCACTCAACGATGGGATATGACATCTAATTTTATACGTAGGGCCTCGGTATTCGTTTTCTTCAACATCGAGGCGAGCACCGCCGAAAGCGCGAGGACCACAAATTCAGCCCTGATGATGAGCTATGGAAGCGAGCCTTCTGGTGTGCTCGAGTATCGGCAGTCAGTTCCTCATTCGCTCATATGGTTATCGTCTAGGTGCTTCCTTTCCCTAGATCGAATAGTGTGCACGTTTTTAGGACGGCCCAGTGGGATTCACATTGAGGAGTACGAGTTCCTCTCAGCTTCCATGGACTTTTTTTTGACGGTCGTTAGCTATGACGTTGAGCTTCCGCTTGAGATCGATGATGAATATTGGGGGAGCACGCAGCCGCTGGGAAAACCCTCCCTCCTCTCGTTCTTCGTCTGCCACTTACGGCTGTGCGAGGTGATTCGATCAACTGATTGCATTCGACATGTCTTATTAAATTTGTGGGACAGATGTTAGGAGATGTCCTCCGCCGATTGTATGCCTCCACAAAGTCAAAGACGCTCATGGGCTGGACCGGTGTAGAATGGGACCAGCGTGTTGTTTCTGAGCTCGACTCGGCTATGAATGACTTCTTGGACTCCGTTCCACCCCATCGTACGCAACAATTATTCCATCTATATTTTCTGCTAAATCTTGCCGTACACATAGTTCGCTGGGACCCTGAACGAACATCGGATGCATTTTTTGACCAATCCGCGTCACTCAATGTGACATATAACTACGTTCAGATAGCGGTCGGAGTTCACTTTGGATTGCTGAGCCATTTCTTATAATAATATTCCATTAGATCCACAGGCCGTACCTTCGCAAAACGAATGTATTGGCTGCTCCATCTCTGTCTATCTGCACTACCGCGGCGCGATCTATCATTCACGCGGTAGACACCTGGCGTCGCAAGTCTAAGCGACTGCCTCCCCCGTTCCTTCAGGTGCGTTACTCACTTACTTGGTGCAATGTTGGTCGTATATCTTGTTCCAATAGAGCCCTGTCTTCATCTCGGGTGTCATCCTTCTTATGAATATCTTCATAAGCAAGCGAGCCAGGCTTTCAATAGACAAGAACAAGGATCTAGCGCAAATCGGAACAGCGGTGGAGATTCTCGGTTCTGGTGAATCGAGGTAAGCTCTCGTTTGGGTTCCTGAAGTCAATATTGGGAAGTATGTAGGTGGCAAACGGCGGGCCGACTAAAGGAAATGCTCCAAGAGCTGCAGTTCTCAGATGGGCCTCTATCCCTGAGATGGCCGCCAAAGAACGAGCCTAGTGGATCAAAAGTGGGGTTTGCAGAGCCCATCATGGCTTCTAGAGAAACGCTGCCCGTTGTTGTGGAATCTGCGGGTATGCCCGAAAATGGATTTCACCCGAACCGTACACGGTCGTTCGACTCGGAACATACCTGGAGCAGTATGCCTTCCTCTGATCAATCATCCCCTCTCAACAACGATCCCAAAGCCGAAATTTCCATCGAGCAATTACTTGCGGAGACAGAAGAATTCAGCCGTCCTGCGGAGAACGGGTGGAGCAACCCTTCAGTGGCGATCGACGATGAACTCATGTCTATGTGGATGGCTGTCCCCACCGACTTCATGTAAGCACGATGTTCATTTATGCTGTTCATCTCGCTCATATGATCGACTCGGCACAGGAATATCGACCAGTGGGACGCATATATGAGGGACATAAACGCACCGACTGGTTTAGATGCACCGCAGCAATAAGCGTAGTCAGATTCAGATCGCACGGTTGGTTTTTGAAATTCTGTACTTTGTACTGCGGACGTCGAGCCGCCTGTTGGGAATGATATCGGTGATAAAATAGCGCTCAGACTGAGACGACGTCAGACCTGTGGCACTGGCAGTGACCACCAGGGATCAATTCGCGCCCACGTGAGCGGCCAACTCGGGCGCAAACAATGGGAATCCGACGCAAGCACTTAGCAGCCTCAGACTTGTCAGCCACCTTCATCTCTCCTTCTTCCTCACTTCCATCAACTTCCGACCTGCCGCCCACCAAACCCCATACGAAACTTGACGCTGAGTCGCACTTGGTACTGCAAATGATACGTCTTCACTGCTCTATTCTGGGCTGCGGTGGGCATGCTGAGAGATGACACAGGCGCACGCGTTTTCGATCTCGCCTTGAACGAATCCACGGCACCCCCGGGTGGGCGTTCAAGAATCAAGAGCTCACTGGGACGGCGTGCAAGAAATCGCTGTGCGTCCGAGTCGTTCAAAACATCGCTGGGACGTCGACGTCGTTCAAGACCACAAGGCCGAGACTTCAAGACCTCAGTGGGAGACTCAAGACTTCAAGACCGCTCAAGACTCAAGCTAGTACTCAAGACCTCAACACTTAAAGACCCTCAACACCTTAGCACAAGGCCCCGAAGAGTGACGTCGCTGGGACGGCGTGCAAGACCCCGCCGCGACAGGGACGTCGTTCAAGACCTCGGTGGGAGACTGCTCAAGACTTCAAGACTCAAGACCCTCAAGACGTCAAGACCTCGCCGGTACGGCTTCAAGATCTCGCTGGGGGACTGCGCAAGATCATCAAGACTTCAAGTTCAACACCTCAAGTCGCCAAGCTTCAACACCTTCAAGACCTCAAGACCTCGCCGGTACGGTTCAAGATCTCGCTGGGAATCCTGGGACGACGTTGAATTAAAGAATTCAAGACTTCAAGCCTTCAAACCTCAAAACCCTCAAGGCAGGGCCCGAACACCCCAAGACCTCAGTGGGATACTGCTCAAGACTCTCAAGATCGTCAAGACTTCAAAACTTCAAGATCTCGCTGGTACGGCGTTCAAGACGTGGTCGAGAGTCGTTTCAAGAGCTCGAGACTTCGCTGGTACGGCGAGTCAAGACCTCAAGACCCCCAAGACTTCGAGCTTCAAGATATAGCTCACGCCGGAAGACCTCACTGGGATACTGCTCAAGACTCAAGATTTCAAGACCTCAAAGTTCAAGAGTTCAAGATGCGGACTCCGGTAATGGTTCCTCTTCTTCCTCTTTGTCCAGGGGGCGTTCTTTGAGGCCACGGAGATGTAGGGAGTGTCGAGACGGTCAAAAGATGACTGCGCACGGAGACTTTGGCGAGCAACGGAGAGGTGGATAATGGCAGCGCGTGGATGCGTGCCGACATGTCCCGGGGGCGGGTGCGAGTCAAGTTCGACTCCATCCTCGTGCTCCCTTGCCGCGGGCTCCGGGCTTAGTACCGTGCAAGAGGCTTGCCCACCTTTTTGCGCGCGTCAACTAAATGCACGTTAAACTCCTTCTTTCTCTCTTTTGCACAAGGTTTTTCGATGTTTGGTAGTACTGCAACGGTATTGGCTTGGTGCGAACGAAAGGACGATTCAAAATGTAATGCGGATTTACATGCCTATATACTGCTCTTGATGAAGTCGACCAGGATTGCGCATGTCTTTTGGGCAAGACGACGTTGGAAGAAAGAGTTGATGAATCACGCCGGCACCACTTTACAACCATGGGCACAGTGTTCGAATTCAGATTGTATTTCTGACCGCGCAATAACGGTGTTAGACGCTCGCATTCAAAGTGAGTAAGTATCGCCGGACAATATACAGGATTCAACGCACAGAATCGGCGCCCACAACTTGAAGCGGATATCGCCGGAGACGCGTCGGCTTAACTTCAAGTCGCGCGGTGTTTGAAGGCCCGGCCTGGTGATAGAATGGATACAGGTGCGAAGTGCGGATGGCTAAAGGGCGAAGCGATGCGATTGAGACGGTGGTCGGGATTCCGAGTCGGAAACGCAGCGCAGATGGTCTTGAAGCTTAAGGTGAATTCAGTCTCCGCTTTGAACTTGTCGCACGGTTGCTTTTGTCGTGTTTGAAATTCAGCGAGTCAACTTGGTTTGGGTGCAGGCTGATGGTCGATTCGACGCTGCTGAGTGCTGAGGTTTGCAGCCAGATTTTATAACAAAAACGAGTGGGAGGACGAATCAAAAAAAAAAGGAATTAGAGGCTGAGCTCGTGCACTCAGACTCCGGGAATCGAACCCAGGACTGCTCCGCATGTTACTGAGTCTTTAATAAGCAGGGCCGTGCTACCACTACACAAAGTCTGAGGTACTTGAAAACCGTACTGGATGGCTTAGAGGGAGGCATGCAGCTATGCATAAGATCACCTACTACTAGGATGCCCAGACGAAACGGAACGGACGAAGATAAGTGTTTCTAAATTTATCGGCCGCGGAAAAAGACTCCGCGGCACACAATGTTTTTAACTTTTAGAGTGTGTACAGCGCTTTAACTTGTTTCAATAAAATGCGGTGATATTGGTAGGCAGGCAGGCAGGCGGATTGAAGGCGCTCAACTTGTGGCGCGGTGTTTGAAGGCCCGGGGCTGGTGATAGGATGGATCAAGATGCCAGATGTAGACGGCCAGTAGAGTAGGGTAGAAGCGATTGTGATTGAGATGGTGGCTCGCCACGGGAAACGCAGCGCAGATGGTGGTGGTCTTGAAGCTTAAGGTGAATTCAAACTCCGCTTTGAACTTGTCGCACGGTTGCTTTTTGTCGTATTGAAATTCCGCTTGGTTTGGGTGCAGGCGGATGGCTGACCGATGTTGAGGTGACTTTGGAGGCGAATAGCCAAGTTTTACAATAAAGGAACGGGAGACGAATCAAAAAAAAGGATGAAGTGAAATGCTTCATTCAGACCCCGGGAATCGAACCCAGGCACTACCCCGCAAATCTTTGAGTCCCCATGAATAAGCAGGGCCGTGTTACCACTACACCAAGTCTGACGTACTTGAAAGCTATAAGGGATGGTTTAGAGGGAGGCATTCAGCTATGCATACTGTCTCGGATGCCCAGACGGAACGGACGAAGATGAGTATTTATAAAATCGGCCGCGGAAAAAGACTCCGCGGCACACAATGCTTTGACTTTTAGAGTGTGTACAGCCCTTTAACTCGTTCGAGTAAAATGCGGCTGATATTGGCAGGCGGGCGGGCAGGCGGATTGAAGGCGCTCAAGTGCAACCTGCGGTGTTTGAAGGCCTGGACTGGTGATAGAAGGGATTAAAGCCGGGGAGGTACGGACGGCTAGTAGAGTAGGGTAGAAGGGATGCGATTGAGACGGTGGTCGCCGCGGGAAACGCAGCGCAGATGGTGGTGAGAGGAGAGAGTGAATCCAAACTCCGCCTTGAAGTCACACGGTTGCTTTTGTCGTGCTGAAATTCCGCTTGGTTTGGGTGCAGGCGGATGGCTGACCGATGTTGAGGTGACTTCGGAGGCGAATAGCTACGTTTTACAATAAAGGAGCGGGAGACGAATCCAAAAAAAGGACCAACTGAAACGATTCATTCAGACCCCGGGAATCGAACCCAGGCACTACCCCGTAAATCTTTGAGTCCCCATGAATAAGCAGGGCCGTGTTACCACTACACCAAGTCTGACTTGTTTGAAAATCGTACTGGATGGCTTAGAGGGAGGGGATCGCCTACTACCTCAGATACGCAAACGGAACAGAAAGACGACGATAAGTATTTATAAATTTATCGGCCGCGGGAAAGACTCCGCGGCACACAATGCTTTAACCTGCTTTGACTTTTAGAGTGTGTACAGCGCTTTAACTTGTTCGAGTAACATGTGGCTGATATTGGCAGGTAGGCAGGCGGATTGAAGGCGCTCAACTTGTCGCGCGGTGTTTGAAGGCCGGGGCTGGTGATAGGATGGATCAAGATGCGAGCCTGAGGTGGGGACGGCTAGTAGGGTAGGGTAGAAGCGATGCGATTGAGACGGTGGTCGCCGCGAGAAACGCAGCGCAGATGGTGGTGGTCTTGAAGCGAGACGAGAAAGTGACTCGATTCAAATTCCGCCTTGAAGTCGCACGGTTGTTTTTGTGCTGAAACTCCGTGCATTTTCGAACGCTGTTGCTAGTAAGTTGATTTGGAGGTAGCTCAAATTTGTAATAGGAAAGAGCGGGAGGAGAGGATAAAAAGAATAAAGAAAAAGTATTCGTGCGGAGAAATATGCATTCAGACCCCGGGAATCGAACCCAGAACTGCCTCGAAAATTGCCGCATTAACCTATTAATAGGCGAGGCCGTGCTACCACTACACCAAGGCTGACGTGCTTAAAACCCGCCATGGATGGATTAGAGGGAGGTTTACCAGTTACGCCGAAAATCAAAAATTAAACCGGGTCCAAGAATCCGGACTCGCTGATCAAGAATCGGGATCTACTAACAGTACTGTAGATCCCGATTCTTGAGATCCAGTGCCAAATGCGCACCGTAGCCGCCTATTACAGTAAGCCTGCTTATATGCGGGACGATATTGGCGAGCACGTTGTCCGGGGCGGGTTTAAGCAAGTCGTTGGGGCGGTGTTTGAAGGCCCCTGGCGCTAGAATGGGACAAGTAACAAAGCCGGAAAGGCAATGCGGACGGGGAATGCGGGAGACGCAACGGACTCGGGGGAGGTGAGACTCCGAATACAGCTTGAAGCTCCACTTCGAACGTGCCGCACGGATGCGTCTCTGTACCCAGTGTGTTTGTGGTGCGGATTCCGACCAATAATCAACATCAGAGCAGATGGTTTCCGTCTAGTCTATAAAAATGAGCGGAAGAAGAACAGAAAGTTGTCTTTGCACAGGTTGATTCAGACGGGAGTTTAACCCTGGACTGCCCATAATACAGATAGCGACAAACCGAGGGGCCGTGTTACCGCTACACCATATCCGACTCGCTTGGGAAGGGTTAATAGTTGCCGCAGTTGATTCACATCGTGGGCGAGAAGCAATATGGGTGGACGACGATCAGATGTGTTGGATGGATAGTAGTGTTTGGAAGGTGATGTGGGGCATGGTGGCTGGTGGAGGTGGTTGTAGAAATAGGAATTGTGTCAACAGAGTGTGCCTGGCGATCAGTTAGCCGAGAGCGGCGGAAGTAAAGGATAATTAAAAATCCATTTGAAAAGTCAACTTCTCGCTCGATGCCCCGACTGCGATGACCGACCGCCGCCAACGCAGCAGCCTGCTCGTCCAGGCCTCCGATGCCTTGTCGAGTATCCGCTTCGGCCGCCGTCGCCCGACGCTGCGCATCCCGCCCGAGCCGCCGACGCTCGCTGTACCGCATGTCATCGACATCTCCGCCCCGCCGCCCGACGAGGAGCTCGAGGAGCGCCAGCGTCTCCGCGACGCCGCCGCACAGTCCATTGGTCTAGCATTGCGCGACGAGACCGACGAGCAGCAGAAGAAGGACGTCGAGGACGACACCGAGCCCGCCCCTGTGCCAATACCGCAGCGCCGACGTCCCTCATCGGTTCCCCCGCCGCCACCACTCCCACCCTTCCCCGCGTCCCCCGGTGCACTCGCGCCCTTCGTCGTCCTCGCCGCCACCCTGCCCAAGCACTACCCGCCCAGCTCCATCCGCATCTTTGCCCTCGCAAAGCAGTGGAAGACCCGCCACCTCCTCCTCTCCGCGCCCCAGCCCGACCGCCCCGACGCCCCCGTCTCCCACCTCCATCTCTTCAAGGGCGCGGGGCCGGACGACCGCGAGCTCGAGCGCCTCGAGATCAACGCCGACAGCGTCGTCTTTGTCGCAGAGTCCACCCCCGCCGAGTCCCCGTCCCTGTCCCCCCATGTCGTCAAGGTCGGCGGCGCGGACGTGGGTGCGCTGCGCCGCGAGTGGAACACGGCCGACGACGCGGGCCGCACCGTCTGGCTCCTTCATCTCGCCACCCCCGCCGACGCCCAGCGCTGGATCACCGCAATCAAGAACGCCATCTTTGAGCAGAGGTGCGGAGCATTCGATTAAATATCTATGTACTCAACCCCGCCGCAGATCACAACGCGCAGGCCTAGGCACGCCAGTCGCGCTCTCGGGCACCGAGCCGCGCGGCGACATGGACGTGATGCTCTCCATGCGCCTCCACGCCTCCGAGTCCCAGTCCCAGTCCCAGTCCCAATCCCAATCCAAACGCCCCTCCACCCTCGCCCTCCTGCCCTCCACCACCTCCCCCGTGCCACCCCCGCCCCAAACACCCACGTCCCCCACCACAACCTACGCCCCCTCCCTCGCCTCCACCCACTCCATCCGCTCCGTCGCCACCGCCCCCTCCGCGTCCCCCACCCGCGTCCCCCCCTATCCATCCTACTCGCCCCCCGGCACCCCCTCGCGCCCGCCCAAAGGCGGCGCCGCCGCCGCCCTCAAGGGCCTCTTCTCCTACCCCGCCCCCCGCCGCCCGCGCTCCGCCTCCGCCTCCTCCATCACCTCCGTCGCGTCCTCCTTTACCTCCGGGTCTGGCTCCATCATTTCCGGGGACGGCCACGGCGATTCGTTCGCGCGCATGGGGAGTCTGTTGGCGAATAATAATGCCGTCCCGAGTTTGCATTCGAACAGCACGTCCGCGTACCACCCCGCGCCGACGCCGGGCGCGACGACGAAGAGCGCGAGCAAGAAAAGCACGCTTCCGGTCGGCGCGGGCGCGGCGCTGGAGAGAAGGATTGTGGGGCAGACGGAGCGCGAGGGGGCTGGTACGCCGAGTAAGGCTAATGGCCACGTTAACGGTAATGCGAATACGAATGGATACACGCCCAACGGCCATTCGACACCGACGCCCGCCGCGGAGACCACGCCGATCCCGATTCCGACAGCGAAGCGCCGCACGCTGTCGTTCGCTATGGGCACGCAGCAGCAGCAGCAGTCGTTGCAGCCGCCGCCGCGGGCGCATAGGGGGAGTGTAGGGAGCGGGGGGATGATGGGCATGGGCGTGGGCGGGAGTATGAAGCGGTGGACCTCGGGCGTGGGGAGGCGCGTGTCGGTCGTGGAGGGGAAGACGAGGGAGCGGGAGGAGGATGCGGATGTGCGGGAACGAGAGGAGGACGAGCGGGAGAGGGATGGAAGGGAACGCGAAGACTCGGTCGCGGGCAGCCCGCCCACGCCCGGGAGCGGCATGGGCATGGGCATGTACGCGCACCCGCACGCGAGCGGGAGCAGCGGGACCGCGGGCAGCTTTGGCGTCCCGTCGGTGAGGACGTCGCGGTCGCGGGCGGGGTCGTATGCACCGTCGCACCATTCCAACGCGCCGTCGCATCACTCGAATTCGTATGCGCCGTCGCAGCACTCGCATTCGACGGCGCAGGGGCGGGCGAGCGTGAATGGGAACGGGAATGGAGTGGATAGGCTGAGTGTGGGTGGCGCGCTGAGCGTGAACGGCGTGGATCGCCTGAGCGTGCACAGTCCCGACCGCCTAAGCGTGCACAGCGCGTCCACGACGGGCACGGGCCGCTCGCGCGCGTCGAGTGTTGGGTCGCCTACACGTACGCAGCGTTTGTGTCTGCTCCCTTGATGACTGACTGATTGGGGTTATTAGCGAGCAATGGGAATGGGTACGCCAACGGGCACGCCAACGGGGACGCCAACGCCCACGGGTACGCCGACAGCGCCGACCCGAACGCGACGGTGGGCAAGGGCCAGGGCCGCCGCTGGTCGACCCTCCCGCGCCGCCTCACCCCGCCCGCGTCGCCGCCCGCTGCGAGGAGTATCCCGCACCCGTATGCTGCGCAGGATTCGTCCCCGTCGCATTCGCGCGCGGACCGATCGAGCTCGCAGGCGCGCGCGGACCGCTCGAACTCGCAGTCGCGCGACCGCCCCCCGAGCCGCGCGAGCGCGCGCTCCTTCGGGTCCACGGGCCACTCGTTCAACTCCACGGGCCATTCGGCGGGGACGAGCACGGGGTCGCCGTTTGGGTCCAGCGGCGGAGGGGGCTCGCCGTTCGGCAAGTCGTCGTGGCCGCGCGGGAAGCGCGCGTCGGGCGTGAGCGTCGCGAGCGGGACGTCGTCCGAGTCGGGACATGTGCCCCCGCAGCGCATGGGCATGGGCAGCCACCGCGCATCCGTGCCCCCGCCGCAGCGCCCGGCGCCCACGGGTGCGCTGCCGCCTGCGCCGGGGCCGGACGCTGAGGGGCGCGAGGCGTCTTTGCGCGAGGATGATTCGACGCGCCGCGGCTCGCGCGCGTCGTCCGTGTCCGTGTCGTTCCGCGAGCCGTCCATCGCGAGCAGCAAGTCGCCCCCTGCGGCGGCTGCAACAAAGACGGGCGCAAAGGGCGGCTCGTCGTTCCGCGAGTCCATGTCGCTCACGCACCGCGCGCTGCGCCTGTCGCTTATGGCGCCCAAGCCGCCGCCCGCGGGCGTTCTCCCCCCGCGTCCCGACGAGCAGGAGCAGGAGCAGGAGCAGGAACAGGAGCAGGAGCCGGAGCCGGAGAAGGAGCGGGAGCGCGAACCGTCGCCGTTGCAGTTTCAGGCGCAGCTCCAGCAGATGCAGGCGCAGCAGTCCCGGACGCAGGAGACGCACGCGCACCGGCGCAGCAGCAGCGCGGGCACGGGTCGCAACGGCAACGGCAACGGCGCGCTCGGGCTCGGGCTCACGCTCCACCCCATCCCCGCGTCGCCCGCGTCTCCCCCGCCGCGCGGACCACTTCCACCCACGCCCGCACAAGCCCCCGCCGCCGCGCCCGCGCGGCACACGTCGCTCAGGCTCAAGAAGCGGTTGCGCATCCTCAGCGCGCCGCCCGCGCCGCGTCCTGAGCCCACTGTCAGCACCGCGTCTTCGCGCCCCACGAGCGGAGACGCCAACGCCAACGCCAACAACGCCAACGCGCCGGCGCCCGCGCGTCTGCGTCCCATGACGCTCGCGAGCTTCCTCTCCGCATCGACGCCGTCGACGCCCACCACCGCCGCGCCCGTGCCGCTCCCCACCACCTTCGCCGCCGCCATCGCCCCCGCCACGCCGCACGACACGCCCCCGCCCCCGTCGACGCCCATCGGCGAGAAGATCATCCAGTTCCACACGCAGAACGACCCGAGCTTCCTCCAGCTGTCCGCCGCGTCGACGCCCGTGCTGCGTGCGCTGCCCGCGCTGCCGGCCGACCCGCCCGCGCCCGAGAGCGAGTACGCCGAGATCGTGTCGCTCCCGCCCCCGCGCCGCAGCTCGCGCCAGATCTCCATCAAGGAGGTCGAGCGCACGCCGACGCCCGAGCTTGAGCCCTCACCCCCGTTGCCCCGCGACCAGGAGGCGGAGGGCGCCGGCCCCGGTCCCGGCAAGCTCTTCTCCCTCTCCCGCCATGGCTC